TTCAGTTTCTTTCTTCTTTTTTCCAACAACGGCTGGTGTAGTTCCGCTGTTTCCGACCAGGGGCGGACCCAGGAAATTGATATTGGGGGGCGGTAATTTAAACAAAAAAAATCTAGGCGCTTGTTATTATTATAAGTTATAACCCTAATATAATACGTAGTAGTAATTAAATGAAGCATTAAAATAGAAGAAGAGACAAATATATTATTACAAAATAGTTAAATTTAGTACTTTAGAATTGTGTCTGGCGCTCCTTTAACGAGATAAATTCCTCAATCACGGCTTTTGAGTAACAAAATTTAGCAATTTTTCTTTCAATATAAACAAGGTTGTTTGCAAGATACTCATCCTCCATTTTATTGCGAAGCCTTGTTTTTATTATTTTCATTGTTGAAAAAGCCTTTTCTGTTGTTGCTGTCGAAACCGGTAGAGTCAACAAAAGTCGGATCAATCTATCAACAAGAAAGTACACTTACATCTCCATCTCCGCTAATCCTTGACAAAGTTCACCCATCCACCTTGTTGCACAGTTTCACACCCATGCCGGCATGAACCTATATAGTAAGGCCATGGTTGTACCGCAGAGTACTCACCTGTGTTAGCCTCTAACCCGCCGAAGAACCTAAATTAAAGCTTTGCAACAGTGCACACTGCCAAGCAAATCAACAACCCCTGCAATCTCTCCGGTCTCCCAGAGGCGTTGCAACAGCACCGACCAAATGACCAACCCCTACAACGGCTCCCCAAAACCCTGAACTCAAGATCGAAGAGGAAATTTACATCAGATCTGGAAGCGTTTGCCTAAGGCCCAACCATCACCGGACAAGAAAAATAACCAGAGGAAAGGGAACGATGCACACCCAGAAGTTAGCGTGGGAAGAAGCAGGAGAGAAGAAAGAAAGAAAAATAAAAGAAAAAAAATAGAGAGAATCCCTTAAATAGGACTAAATGAAGGTAGAATTGCAAAAACAGGACTACTATGTTTTATTAGACAAAAATAGGACTAAAAAGAGCTAATTGGACAAAAATACCCTTAATGAACATATTAAGAGTTCGCAGGGGCCTGTGCTGCGCATATGCGATTCCCCTGATGCGCAAACGGCCCTGTGCGTTTCCAGGCCTCCAAGATCGGCGCCTCCACCAATGGCGGCTCTTCCACCATCCATCAAGTTTGTCACCACCTTCACGCCTCAGCAAGTACGCTGTCATCATTCTCCAACAAAAATCTGCCCTCCAGTGAGTCTGTGTAGACTTCCATGAGGCATGACACTTCATATGCGAGAATGCCACTTAATATATGCATAATGACACAATAATGACAATTTTGTATAGAAACATGACATTCTCAATATGACATTTTCAAATACTGTAATGACATAAAAGTGGCATTTTTTAAAAATGACCAATAATGACACAACAATGACAATTTCGTATAGAAACATGTCATTCTCAATATGGCATTCTCTTATTCAAAAAGTGTCATTTTCTGGAAATCTAAAGAAGAAGAAAACAAAGGACCCAGATTTGAAGAGGATGGGAAGTTCATATCCAAAAGTTCCAAATCCAAAATTTTCAAATAAAAAAATTTATTTGAATCTTAAAAATCAACAAAGCTCTATTTTTGAATTGTAAGACCAACATTGAAAGCATAAAGAATCACGATTGTAACAAGCATCGTTAATCCATTTATATAAAAGAGTACGAAGAAGGACAAGAGGGAGAAGGAGGATGAGGAAAAGAAGAAAGAAGAAGAACTTACCTGGAAATATTTTGACCTGAGCAGTGGAGCGTGGAAGCGAAGATGACATGCGGACATGGGAGAGATGCGGAAGACATCTGGGGCGATCGACCTGGAAGAGAAGGCAGAGGAGATCGGGAGAGCTGATCGACGCGGAAGACGGATTTAGGGATTTGATATATTAGGGGTAAAATGGTAATAGGGGGTCCTATTTAGGGAATTTAAAACATTAAGTCCCAAGTTAGAATATTCACTATGTTTTAGTCCTAATTAGATCAATTTCTTAAAAAAATATTGTTGTCCATGTCACCATTAACCGGAAATAACCCGTAATACTTGTATTCAACCGGGTAAATAGCAAAAATGATTCTTTTTTAACACTTGGGGACTTGATTGATTCGTTTAGAAATATCAAGACTCAATCGACTTTTTGAAAATACTACGAGAACTTATTTGAAACTTTTCCCATTAAAATAAGTGTGGTTGAAGTTAATTTTCTGACCGAATTGGCTTAAATTAATACTATATATAGATGATTATTTTAGCTATTTTACTATTTCATGTAATACTAAATATAATTTTTCATAATTAACAGAATCAATCATTCCAAGCATTTAAGACAATTCAACCAATTTCAGTATTATCAAATGAGGTCTAATAGTTCTGACTACTAAAAGTTTTATTAGCCTATCAACCTTTGAGAATTTCATGTGTATTATGCATTTACGTCTATCAATAGAAGTTATAACCATATATATATATATAGCCTATATAGTATACTCCCACTTTAACATTATATGAATAAATAAATATTCAAAAAGTAATAGGTAGTACATTCATAGTTCATTTCTTACCCATATATAGAAGTTACCTAACCAATCTAAGTTCAATAATAAAGAAAACATTGGGCACTATCCCAATTGCCTAATGCGCGAAGTAATAAAAAAAATGGCAAAGAAGTAGACGAAAATTTGATTGCCTAAAATGGTTTCCATGCATATTTGTGAATGCTAATTTACATCATAACGCCACCAATATCTCGACAAAAATTTATAAGCCTAAGTTTGGTTGTATTGCTTCCACTGATTTCTTCAAATACGAAGGTACGTTTGATTTCCTTGTACTTGCACTTTCTTACGATATTATTAATACTAGTAGTATATTAGTCCGTACGTATTTCTTAACCTCAAAGGAAGGATTAATGGGATCGTTGCATATGGAGGAGATCGGAACTTTGAGAGAAAATGCAATATTGAATGGTAGGGTTCCCTTATCTCTAAGTAATGCATTTTCGGCATTACTTACTGTTAATAATTTAAATTGTGGAGAACAAATGATAATTTAAGTGACTAATTCTGTATTGAGAAAAACATGTACGACCCCCGAATTCTTCCAGAATGCATATATATGAGTCTTGTATAATAGTGTATTATATGGATTATATGTAAATACTCTAATACATGTCTCTCTTTCCATTTTGAGATGTTCTCTAATAGTTGTCTCTCTCTCCATTTTTAGAAAGTTTTATCAATAAATATACCTATATCCCCTCATTCTCTTTCCTACTTTTTCATTTAAACACAACTCACTACACCTTTTACATTACCCCAATTATTTTTCTCTTAACACTTGTGTCAAACTCAATAGAGACATCTAATAAAAAATGGAGGGATTATTATTTATTATTATAAATACGATCATAGGACTACCCGATGGGAAAGTCGTTATTCTTTCCACACAATTATTATTACACTTTTCAGGACATTTTATTTATTCGGTCCTTACTCTCGGACATATGCATTGTTATTTCTACTCATGTTAAGTTATTTTGTGACAATGTCTCTAATCTCTATCACCTCCTACGTCGCGGTTAATCTCATTTAGCATTATCATTTATCACAACAAGCACATCAAGATATATAGATTATCACTTTGTTCGTGAACGTATGGCTCATGAGGATTTGGTTGTCAAATATATTTCTACGCAGTATCAGTTAGCAAATATCTTTAATAAGAATTTGACTAGTCAGCATTTTGAGTTTTTATATTTCAATCTCCACTAGCGTATTATAAGGACTTATGTGTAAACAGTCTTACAACTTATTATTATACTAGTTTTTTTACGCGCCATGCGCGATTGAGTAGATTCCCAATATAATACTCTGTACGAAGTATATGTAATGTGCATACTAACATGTTTTCTAAATAGATATATTTAATTTGTTGAAGTGTTGAACGATGTACACATGCTGATTGGAACATTTGAAAGTAAATTTAGATAACATCGGGACAAGCCCAATGGGGACAATAGGGGCCACCGTCCTAGGCCTCCAAAAATAGTACAAAAACTATTTTTTTTGAGTAGGCTTTCTTTTTTATTTTTAGGTTCAATTGATTAGGTACGTTGTTTAATTTTTGTATACAATTTGAAAACTTTAGAACATAAGTGAAAGTCCTAAGCGGAGGCAAGTTTTTTTGAACGAAAATGGAGCTAAGTTTAAAAAAGAAAATGAATTAATTGGACAATACTAAGAGGACTAAATGTAGGAAACTATGAAATTGAGACTAACAGTGGCCCTCCTACAATAATCAAAGAACTAAAAATAGAAAATTAAAAATTGAATATTAAATGTTTCATTGACACAAGTTGATGACTAAAATTAAAGTAACAAAGACTCATTCATTATTTACCCCAAAATGTAAGGACAGGGTGTAATTAAAGTTTGTTTTACTACAATTGAAGGAAGTAGTTTTCATGGGATCAAAGGTGTAGAATAGGAATACCTTGTAATTGAATACAACACTTTCCAGTGATTTAATTTCAAACAAATGATTATTTGCAATCAAACTACCAATCTAGGGGTGTTTGGAATTGATTCTGCTTCTGCTTCTTTTTTAAAAGCAGAAGCAGAAGCAGAATCAGTTTTCAGAAGCTGGTACCTCCTAGCTTCTAAAAAACCTGATTCTGAGAGTAAATTACAACTCCAGAAGTGCTTCTGGAATTTCACCCAAACACTCCAGCGTCTGCTTCTGCTTCGGCTTCCTGAAGGAGCAGAATCAGTTTTGAGAATCAGATCCAAACACCCCCTAGAATGATAAGATGTTTTTAAAAAAAAATCTAGAATGATAAGATATCATATGGACGGTTCGCCTTAATCAAACTTTAATGGAATACCTAAACAAGCTAAAGTGAATCTATTCAAAGACTAATATTAGTATCCTTTAATGGAGAATCAGGTTTGGCTGATTCTTAAAGAATCTTTGTGAGCAAGTGCTTTATGAAATTAAGATTATGTTCATAAAATTTCAGATTAAAATTAGATCAGGGAGTAAGTTAAATAAATTAAGATGGAGAATCGGGTTTGGCTGATCCTTTACTTTTTATATATTTTGGCGTGGAGTATTTTAATAATTTATTTAACTGACTTCTCGATCGAATTTTAAATTGTTATAGTCTACATAATGTACATTTCATGAACAAAACGCTCATAAAATTTCATAATAAAAAAGAAGACAGTTCTAGTGAGAACTCATCTTAAAATGAAAATTAATTATAAGGAGAGATTTTAATAACAACCTATCAATTTAATCAATCATTGGTAGGATGCACATGGGATGTGTCCTTTGTATAATTATTCAAAACTCAAATGACGTATTTTTAGTAATTAAAAACATTATTACAAAAAATGTCACTTTGTTGATTCTAACCGTTGATTTGAAATGTGAAAGGTGGAGCTTAGAAGTTCTCATTTATAAATCAATTCTGATTTTAGAGGGGTTCTCATTAGAATTATTGCTTCATAATCCATATATAGGGAAAACTGTCAAATAGATCCTCCTACTATTATCAAAAAGTCAATTGAGTCCTCATACTTATCTCTCAATCAATTAAGTCCACCAACTATTAAAAAACACTCAAATAGGCCATTTAACAGGTTGGCATCCGATTGAAGGTCAAATGCACAGACATGACAGTCCATTTGGATTTTTTGTTTTTCCCTTTTTGATTTTCTTTTCCTTTCTCCTTCCCTCTCCTTCTTTCTTCTCCTCTCACATTTCTTCTTCCCTGCTTTTCTTTTCTTCTTTCCTTGTTTCTTTCATTCTCTTTTTCTTTCGTATTCTACATAGTAATTCTTTCCACAAAAGGCATCAACCTTCGCCGCCCATCTCTTCCTCATTGGTCACTACCGACCAACCGTCGCCGCCGCGGTGCCGTAGCTCGTCTAAATGTCGGTCGCCCCCAAAGCCACAACTTGTCTAATCGCCAATCTCTCTGACTTCTCCAACCACCACCGGGGATCGATCATCGCCCACGACTTCTTAAATTTTCCGCCCATCGCCGGTAGCCAGCAAATCATCTATCACCTAGTAACCTCCGCTCGCCGCCCGTCAACTACACTTCTCAACCGCCGTCAGCCGCCTCTCGTAGCCCCACAGCCAAAGCTTACCTAGCTGACTCCGCATGCCGCCCACCTTCCATCAGTCCATGTCTTCCTCAACCTCCGCCCGCCATCCGCCGGCACCCGCTGCCCATCCAAAAAATGAGAACCGGGAAGAATGGAAGAAGTGAAGAAGATTCGAAAAGAAAGAAATTGGACGAGGAGAAAGACAGTGTAGAGAGAAGAGGAATAAAGAAAAAAAATAGAAGATCGTCGCTTCAAGTAGGCAGAAGAAGAAGTCAGCAAAGAAAGGAGAGAAAAAAAAAAGAGAAAAAGAAAAAAGAAGAAACGGGCTAAAGGAAAACTCAGAATTATTGCCACATTTGCTTCCACATCAGCTACTAACCGGTAAAATATATATCCAACAGGCTAAATAGCAAAATTGGCTGTTTTTTAAGAGTTGGTGGACTTAACCGACTGATCTATAAGTATGAGGACTTAATTGACTTTTTGACAATAGTACGAGGACCTATTTGACAGTTTTCCCCTATATATACAATTGTTTTGGAAACTCTAATTAGATAGTATCTCATTTTGTGCTTAACTTCATAGTATATACTATATATGGAGCCCGTTTGGTAACACTAAAATCGGCTGAATCGGTAAATTCTGCTAAAATTTATGAAGTTCTCGCTGAAGTGACTGTATTGGCCGATTTCGATGCTTTATGAATTTTTTTGATGTATCTGGACAACTTTCTTAACAAGGTTGAGAGCCATTTTCCATGCATATGACATATTTCTTAACCAGATTCATTGCTCTCTATCAACTGGATCATGTCTCTTATATATTGAGCCATTATTCCATAATGGGCTCAAAATAGAGAAATTAATAGGACCGATCCATTCTTTTAATAATTAAATTAATTGGTTCTTTTAAATGATCCAGATTAATTTAATCACTAAATTTTATCCAAGTGATGTAAATTAATTTTCCTCTTGCTAAGGCCCAATCAATTATCAAGAGTAGCTCAGACGACTGAACATTGGCCCAATAACATTCAAAAGAGGCCCAAAAAGATGTAAGATAGCCTGGTAGCATTTGAAAGATGTCCAATATGCTGAGACTAGTCCGCTAGCATTTAAAAGGGATTAATCATATTATGGACTATTACAAAATAATAACTCCAAAATATTAATTAATTTTCAATATCCACATACACTTAAACAGGTAATTGACTTTATTTTTTTGCATATGATACTACTTCATTCTCACTCTCTTCTTCCAAGAAGGCTCTCTTTCTTTCTCTCTCACTAATAACACAAGAGCTCTATTCAAGATTCTCTCTCATGAGTGTCTCATCACACAAGGAGGCTCTCACAATAATGTCTTAGGAATGATGGGTCTCACCCATCATTACAATTCTAGATTCTTCTAAGTAATCACAAACTTCTTTAATCTTCTTGAAAGATCTAGAGAACTCGACATTTTTTCAAAATATTCTAGTGGCTCTCACACGGTTCTAGAAAATTCTACACATCTCTATAAAACTCTATAATGTTTTACAATATTTTATGCTCTTTTATATGTTTTTAGATAGTTTCACATTTTCAAAATATTCTAGAACATTCGATACATATCGACCATATCTAAAAAAATTGAGAACTCCTGCCTTTTTCTAAAATTTCTATGAACATCTCAGTTAATGAGGGAACCCAATATTAAGCAATTAAGGGTTGGGATGGAAAATGCTCACCATGCGCATACGATGGATTCACAAATAGAAATACGTGAAATATACGTGAGCCACACCAAAAAGTGAGCTGTAAGGATGAAAAAAATATACTTTGTGAATAATAACTGTAGTTAGAAACATATTACCATGATAATGCAATCAAATATTTCATCATGAGTGCCTTTTTTCATGTTATAATTAACTGATATAGAGGAAAGTTCATGTCCGGAATTCCGGACAGGAACCGCCGTCCGGACGGCGGCGTTTGGCCGTCTTCCCGGTGGAATTTTTTGATGAAATTTTTATGGAATGTTCTACATCAAGTCTAGTTTATCCACAAAAAAATTCAGCCAAAAACTCAATCGGGAAGGTCGTCAAATGATTTTTGCAAGTTAACTGGTCCGGAAAATACATATTCCGGACCAGTTAACTTGCAAAAATCATTTGACGACCTTCCCAATGGATTTTTTGGCTGAAATTTTTTGTGGATAAACTAGACTTGATGGAGAACATGCCATAAAAATTTCATCAAAAAATTCCACCGGGAAGGCGGCCAAACGCCGCCGTCCGGACGGCGGTTCCGGTCAGGAATTCCTGACCGGAAGAGTACTCATAATTAACTAATGTCAAACCCTATCCAATTAGATAATTCGTTCAACCGCATTAAATTTTTATTTTGATGGTACCTTTCGTCAAACTCTCTGTTCAATATCGAACTTCTTTGCTTTGCATTAAAGCCACCCTGACCAAAATGCAGTGATCATCTTAACAGAAAATTTGGGGACTGATAGTTTTATTTATTTGAGGTATTGCAAACGAGAATAATGTCACCAACAATCATTCATGACATCAAATATAGGAGTTTCCATGGAGCCCGCGATCCCGTCTTGAAGGCATCCATTTATCAGTGATTGGCACCCACCATCTGCTTCTGCGTCTCTTAGTTTGCCATTATTAGACTCAAGTTGGGGCTTTCTCATTTACTTGATTCCAAGGGTCCACACCACATGGGTTGATTGTGGCGCTGCCGGGGTTTTAAATGGGGTGTTTGACGGAAAAGAGCAGATTTCTTACCTTACATTCCAAAAAGTGCAATTTTTGGGGGTTTTCTGAGACAGTGCAAACGGAGTTGGTTGTTAGTATTAAACTCATTTTCGGAGTTCCCAAGCTCGAAAATAGAACCCGCCAAAATGTTTGCAAAAATGGAACTTGCCATTTTAGGAGTTGGCAACTCCGAATTAGTAAAGTATTTTTTTTTGTGTCTTCTTTTGTTGTCTTAATACGGATTGTTGGGGATGCATTATCCAAATGTTGTATTTATTTTTGTGTTTTGAAGTTTGTTTTATAATTATTGTTATAAATCGTATTTTGTTCAACATAATTAAAAATCATACAATATTTGTATTTTAAGTTGAATTTGCGTCTGACTCCCGATTTAAATAAAAACATGCGTTTTACAAAAATTTGACCCATAAAAATAATTGACCACATGTTTTACAAAAGTGACCCATTAAATGTTTTGAGCACAAATTGTAAAAAATTTGTTACATTTACATTAACAAAATAATTTTTTGAACGTAATTCAAATTATAGAACCGTACCCATTAAATAATGTGAACCCGGAAAAGATGATTAAAAGTATCAATATGTTAATATATTTACAAGAACAAACTACATTGATTAAAAGTTTCAATATATTAAATTAATGTGATGATTTTTAAAAATAGTTCACACATTCAGTGTTATGAACTCCAAAGTAAATACAAATACAGTTTACAATATAACACGTTTAATTTATAAGTGACTCATAAAGTCATACGAATTCAAAATTAAACATAGTTAATTGCACAATAAGTCATACTAAAGGTACATATAAAACATATGGCTAATAAATATTTTACAACATTAAAACAAAGTACAAAAAAAGATTACATTATAAGAGTACAAATACAAATCAATCATGTTGTCCTCTCACGCTTCTTCGATAGAAATATGTTCTGATTCGTCATTTCGGATTCACCAGGTCTCACGCTTCTTCGAGACTAAATTTGGCGAACACGTTCCACATGTTCCACATGTTCATTACGAAATTGGTTAGTGTGACAAAATGAATAATGAACATATTGGCGTGCTTACTATATTTTCACTCTTTTCCCCCGAAATGAATGTTTGCTTTCTAAATGTGAAAATTCTTACTTTTGCAATTGACTGAAACATTTCACTCTTTCATTTTCATTTCCCCTAATGTATGGTAGTATATAGATCTCTACAAGACTAAGGGTCTTATTAGTAACAGACATATATTCCAGATTTCCAGAAAACTGAAAAACTGGAAAAAAGAATACAGAAATATGTATCCTAAAAAAAATTGCTGGAAAACTGGAGAAAGAAAAACAGAAAAATGTGTTTACCAAATCGTTTTTCAAAATTAAAAAATGAGATGTGTCTTTGTTTTCCTTAATAATTGGAGGAATGATTTTTACTAGTTTTCCAAATTTGGGAAACGCGGATGTTGCAGTGCCGTTGCAATAATTTGGCATACTTGCGGCTAGTGGTGGATCTGGTCCCGCCCCGGTGTCAGTTCTTTGTCCAGTAAACGACCTGACGGTCCCTATCTGGCCCAGTCAACGACCAGGCGGTACTTGTTCAGTCCGATCGATGGTCAGGCAGTCCTGGTCTGATCCAGTTTGGTCAACGACTCGGCGGTCCCCGTCCGGCCTGGTCAACGACCCGGCAGTCCCTGCCTTGTCCGGTCAACCACCCGGCGATCCCCGTTCTATCCGACCAATGAAAGTTATACATCGAGTTCCACAGACGAAGACAATTTGGAATTAAATCAGTTCTTATATACAAGTGTGCACTCTACACCTAATAACTTGTATTAGATCATAGTTCTATTCCTCATTGGCACTCATGTCATTTCCAATTACACAAAACGGTCGGAGACACTAAAATCACCAACAACTCGCGCATATAAAAATGTAACTCACACACATGAAGAAATAAATCGCGCATAAAAAGATATAACTCACGCATATTAAGATGTAAATTGCGTATATGAAGATGTAGCTCCATATGTTATCAAAAGTAACTCTAGGAGTCGTGTATAAATGTAAATCACACATATGAAATTGCAATCTCATATTTTGGCATAATATAAAAAATTGAATATGCCAATCAAAAGTAACTCTAGGAGTCGTGTATAAATGTAAATCACACATATGAAATTGCAATCTCATGTTTTGGCATAATATAAAAAATTAAATATGCCAAAATTTAAACAAAAAAGCCAAACTTTAAAGTACGAGTATGTAAAAATAAATTAATTTCATATTTTATAAAAAAATTATAAAATAAATAATATGCAATATTAATAAAATAAAAAATAAAAATAAGTTTAAAGTACGAGTATATAAAAAAGTAAAGAGGAAAGTTCATATTTTTATAGTGAAAATGATAAATTAAATTAGCAAAAGTAGAATTACTATTTTCCACCTAAAATGAAGTATGAATTACAGTATAGTATATTTTTTTGTTAATTTACCTCTAAAATTTTTTTTTTAAAATCTATACACCTTTTTTATACTTTTTGTACTGTAAAAAACTCGAGTTGACTGTTAAGATTATTAATAGAGGGTAACCACGGTTGAGATTATTTATAAAATGTGCTTAGTTTAATATAATGAAATGTTAAATACCTAACAAGGTAATAATAGGTCATCGACTATTACAGTTTGTAGTTCTATAGTTGAGATTATATAAAAGAATGAAGAGTTGAGATTATTATGAGCAGCTCGTAATATGTCCAAACTAGATTTGATTAAATAGAAAATACCTGTACTATGTCCCAAGTTCCTAAGCTAGTTTGATCTTCATGATGAGTTTAATAATATACTTTTTTTTATGAATAAGAATGGTTTCTTCATATGAGCTATTAATTTCTATCTGCTCGTACTGATAAAAATGTAGTAGTATAGAGTGCAAGTACGAGTATTGTCTCCACAGGGACGGA